TCGAAAATTTACCAAAATATCTGCCATTTACAAGAAATAATGATGGGAGTAATATTTTTCCATATATCTTTTTAAAATGTATGCTACACATTTTTGTTCAAGAACCACCTTTTCAAACCTCAAACATTTCGAAAATTTACCATAATATCTGCCATTTACAAGAAATAATGATGGGAGTAATATTTTTCCATATATCTTTTTAAAATGTATGCTACACATTTTTGTTCAAGAACCACCTCACAATTTCTGCCTTTATTTCAAATGCCAAAGAATCCAATAGTTTTCATTACCAGTTCAATTTATTTATTGCTGCAACCGAATGAAAAACCAATGCATTCCATTGGTATGGGAGAAGAAATTTGAATAAATTTTATTATTGAAGATATTTGCAGTGCTTAAAATTTTTTTTTGGGGGGGGGGTGGTAAAAAAAAAACTCAACTCATATTCGTGGCACCAATTGGAGGAAAACCGATTTCCCTTTCTACTTAATACAAAAAGTGATGAAAGAAACCTTGAAATAAATGTGTTATTGTGGAAGATCCAAACCTGAGTCTACATTCAGCTATGGAGGCTTCAGTTTGTGATATGACAAACAAGAAATGCATGTCCAAAAGTCAAATTCACCTTTATACAACGTGTTCCAAACTGAATGAATTGGAGCAAGTACTGTTTCGGAAATGGGTCAGTGTTGACCATACCGCAGTCGCAGAACCCATTGAAGATATGTTGGAAAATATTGCAGCCATTAAGCAGCAATATAAAATTAAAAATAAAGATAGCAATATAAAAATATATGAAAACAGCAAAATAAATTTGCCCCTAACACAACATCATTTCATAGCATAATCGCAGGCCAGCCACCTGAAAGATCTCAAGGACGATTTGAAAGAGGAGAAATTAATTATTCTCATTGACTTTGCTCTATTATTGTTCAAGGGTTCCATTGGAATATGGCACAGGCTACTCTCCACGCAGTCATTGTGTACTTGAGGAAGTCTGACTCTTCCTTGCAATCTTTGAGCTTTTTCATATCCGATACTTAGACTCATACAGCTGCAATAGTGAGGTATAGTAATTCAATAGTAATTCTACTCTCCACCCAGTCATTGTGTACTTGAGGAAGTCTGACTCTTCCTTGCAATCTTTGAGCTTCTTCATATCCGATACTTAGACTCATACAGCTGCAATAGTGAGGTATAGTAATTCAATAGTAATGGTAGCCATGAGTTGACTCATCTTCATTACTTCTCAGATGGCACTTCTGCCCAGTATAAGAACAGGTGTGTATATCTACTTCAGTCATATTATAACTGAAGCAGTACAATAATTCACATTTTAAAATTGCAGAAGGAAAACATCGTTATTGTTACATATTGGTTAGGTACTGAACATTTTTCTGACAACATGCTTTTTTTTTAAAGTGTTCCAACTGAGAACTTTGAATCGAATGTACATATATGCAGAGGAACTTCTTCACTTGTCATCGAACATGAGGAAAATTTGGCTTCCTTGGCACCTGGAATTTCTCTGCCACTTCACATGGCAAGGGGCCTTGTGATGGAGTTTGGGTTACAAACGGCTAACAACCAGAGCCAGTCTCTAATGGCCCAAAATCTACTCTCCACGCAGTCATTGTGTACTTGAGGAAGTCTGACTCTTCCTTGCAATCTTTGAGCTTTTTCATATCCGATACTTAGACTCATACAGCTGCAATAGTGAGGTATAGTAATTCAATAGTAATTGAAGCCATGAGTTGACTCATCTTCATTACTTCTCAGATGGCACTTCTGCCCAGTATAACAACAGGTGTGATAACTACTTCAGTCACATTATAACTGAAGCAGTACAATAATTCACATGTTAAAATTGCAGAAGGAAAACATTGTTATTTTTACATATTGGTTAGGTACTGAACATTTTTCTGACAACATGCTTTTTTTTTTAAGTGTTCCAACTGAGAACTTTGAATCGAATGTACATATATGCAGAGGAACTTCTGCACTTGTCATCAAACATGAGGAAAATTTGGCTTCCTTGGCACCTGGAATTTCTCTGCCACTTCACATGGCAAGGGGCCTTGTGATGGAGTTTGGGTTACAAACGGCTAACAACCAGAGCCAGTCTCTAATGGCCCAAAAGCAACCCAATTCTGAATGCCCCTGACGTACGTAGGCTGATAAAAAAAAAATGAACGGAACTTCTGCTGCAGAACAAGCAAGGCCAGGCGAAGTCGTTGGAGAAGTGATACTCATTGCCTTCTTCGACCATGCGGGCATCATTCATAAGGAATTTCTGCCTCCACACCAGACTGTCACCGGTGTATTCTATGAGTCGGGGCTGACGCGTCTCCACGACTCGGTAAGTGGGCAAATGGTAATTGGAAACTGCAACATGACAACGCGCCTTCCCACAACTCACTGACGGTACGCGAATTCTTAGCCAGACACCAAATCACCAAATAGGGATCATCACCGTCCCTATTCACCGGATCTGGTACCTTGTGACCTGTAAAAAAATTTAAATCCCAGTTGAAGGTACAGTTGAACTTCCCAGTGAGCGTCCTCTGGTTTTTATCGAAAAAGTTCCGTTTCTTTTTGATCAGCCTACGTATTTCAATTTACCACAGAAAATATTCCAGGAATTAGGTATATTTAAACTCAAAAGGTTTCCCTGGACATGTTATTTTATTAACTATTTTAAAGGGAAGGGAAAGGTGAGAAAGAAACTTCAACCCCAGTATGCTTCAATCAAGACTGTCCCTGCTACCAGACAATTCCTTTGTGTTGCTTCAAGAAGAAATGGGTGCATCAAGGCAAAAAAAGTCTAAAAATGCCACAAGGAAGATTTAGCAGCAATTAAGCAGCCAAAAAATCATGCAATGGACATTTTTGATTGCTCCAAAATACAACTTTTTCCTGAAGGCAAAAAGTAGGATGCTCAGGGCAACTTTCATTCATTCATCTCCTTGGATTCATCTCCTTTTGCAATACAATAATAACCAATATCACATGGCAGCAACAGCATAGTAGCAAGCATGAAATACCTGCAGAGGAGTTGGAGAAAGGCATGTGATGCATGGTAAAGGCAGTTAGAAAGGCAACAGAATAGAAGCATCTTTAAAGAATGAACTGGCTTCACACCTTTTGTCATTATTTGAACAGCTCTAAAAAGTTACAGATATGGCAGTAAATTTTGGCACTTTTCATACATAGAATGCAAATGTGAATCACTCCCTCCTTCACACCTTGTAACTTGAAAAATCCATTATACAGGTCCCACACCGTGAGGATTTAAAGCCTGACAAAAACAAGAGACAGTTGGCAATAACGTATGATAGCTCTTCCCATGCCAAAGACAGACATGTAGAACTAGCTTCAAGGGCCAGCCTTCAAAAATTTTAACCTTTTGTCTGAGCTGTGAAAATAAGAGCACTTTCATGCAAGCCACAGGAGTTCTGCTTGATGCGATAACAAAATTCATGTTGCATTCATTACCTATGGATGCAAGTATTCACAGCAGCTTCCTATCAAGAGATGATACCTGTGTATATTGCAATGCACCTTCTGAGTGGTCTTCCTGCATTCTTCACAGGTTGATGATTGTCTTTCAATGTGGATTGCAGGCATGCCTATCATCATCCTTCCTTGACCGCCAAAACTTCCAGAAGATGCAGTCCCATGGCCTTCCATTTGTACACCCAGTTTCCCTCATTTACCTATGGGGAAAATTCATACTTAATAATGGAGAGAAAATTACCTAATAACCAAGTCATCAAAAGGTCATATTCTTCAACTTTCTACATTCATTAAAAAAAGTTAGTGGAAAAATGCACAATTGTAATTGAATGAATTCTTGTACTTCTTGCAGGAAGAAACAACTTAATGTATTTGCAATCCAATGACAAGGGATGACAGTATTATTTACCAGTTTCTACACTTAAAATACTGACCTAAAAAACAGCAGGCATGCATTCCTTTGCTAGTTATATCTCATGGCTTCATAAATGGTTTCAGTAATTTTTAGAATGGAAAAATTGGTGTTTTTTTAATCTGATAAGGGCTACTCCCCCAAGACATTCTTCACACAGGATGAGAGATGCATACGGGTGTCTATGGCAGAGGACGCTTTCCATCCTAGAACTGCAAGAGAGCAGCAACGTTCTTGAGACCGGGAGTATCCTGGTCCATGGATGAGATCTCCTCTCTGACTGGGAAGTCCACAAAGAACATTAGGAACTGGATCTGGAATAGTTGCCACAAAGTTGATTAATGTCATGCTGCATCACCTTCTCAAAATACCCCATTCCAGCAAAGAGAAACAATTTGTGTGCAATCAACAACTGTCATCTCAATCATCATCAGTCGTCTCAATTCAATAAGGTTCTATCTGACATTTCCTGAATGAGGTCTAAACAATTCATATGGAAATCAGATTCATTATACCTGTTGATTTAGCATAATTCCCTCAAGAAAAACTGGAATTCATGATTTTTCTAGGTTTGATTTTCAGTTCCTGGAAGGGGGGCAACTCTCCAGAGGAAGGGAGAATCTCTCCAGAATTCTGATTAGGCAGCTCCCCTTTTGTCATCAGTCTATCAGAACTCTTGTTACAGTGGACATCATCCAATTAACTTTACCTCACTTCTAAATCAAGACCAAACAAGGTGATGGCATAGTGAAAGTTGCTCAGGTGTTCCTGGAAGCAAATATTGTTTACTGGGTCTGCCCGGAAGTTTGGAACATCAATAATCTTTATCTGCATGGTTGCATGAGTGAAGGAAAAATGTTCCAACAATTATTTAGTTTCTTTACTCTGTTGGCTCTGTAACAAAAAAATATTGGATTACTCCTGGAAATTGAGGCCAAAAGAGAGGCAGTTCTGCAGCTGCACAATGCTGGAAAGCATGGTGGCAAGATTGTAAAGGAACTTAGGGGCCATCAACAGGATATTCATCTGGAGGACCCTGAAATGATTCAGTGAGACAGGCTCAACTGCTGACCGTCTGAGGTCCAAATGCACCCCTGAGACCATCAGGTCCATCAGAGACAAGATTTGTTGGAATCCACAAAGGACCATTGCCAAGGAGTCCAGCATGGGTGCTACAACAACAAGCAAATTGGTCCGAAAACAACCTCAAGATGCGACCCTTCTCCCTAAAGAAGCAAGAGGTCTTGTCTGAGAACACAATGCTGAAGAGGCTTGCCTGTGCCAAGGGAATGTCTAAAAATCTGAAAAAAGGGTGAACTGAAGGACATTCTCTTCACAGATGTTCACCGTCCAGGGAATCCAGAACAGACACAATGGCAGGGTTCTGGTCAAGGACATCAAACAGGTCCCACAGAACTGTAAACACCTTTCCAGAGGCAACATCTCGCATCTGTCATGGTCTGGGTTGGCAGCATTGCCTACAACAAGACCCCCCTCATGTTCATCCCCCTGGAGTCAAGGTCAATAAGGATTTCTACATCTAACACATCCTGGAGGATGTGGTCATCCCCTGGGTCAAGAAGTTTGGCAAGAAGGGCTTAATGAAACTTTCATGAAAGACGCTGCCCCAGTCCACATCACCAAGGCTACTCAGGATTGACAGAAAAAAATATATATATATTTTTTATTTCTGAGCAAGGAGGAGTGGCACCCCTCTTCCCCTGATCTGAACCCCATGGACCTACTTGGAGACCAAGGACAGTAGCATCAACCACCTGAATCTGGACACTCTCAATTTGGCCCTGACCAAGGAGAGGGTCAAAATGCCCATGTTCATCTCAGCCAACACCTTCAAGGGACGTCTTCAGCATGTCATCAAAGCAGGTGGAGGCCATTTTGAATAATTCTTTGTGCACATGTACTATGTATGTAATATGTAATAAACATCTATGGAAAATTTACCATGTTCAAGAACTGTGGGCTGACAGTATGCCATAAAAGATAAATTCTCAGTTTAATTCTGTATCAATCATACCCTTGTGACTGATGGCTTTTGGAAGTTAGGAAATTCACTTTCTAGTGATGGAGAGACTCATCCCCTGCAGTGATGCCAAGAAAGAGCCTGCTACTGAGCCTCAACCAATTCAAGAAAGATTTCAGAAAAAAAGAAACATCATCAGATGCTTCTTACCCAAGGTTAGGAAGCACCAGGACATTGGGCAGCATGTATGCAGGAGGAGAAAGCTAGTTCCAGAAAAAAAAAGAGAGCAATGTCAAGGACTGTGGGAATTTCTGAAATTGAATTTTCAGAAATTCAATAAATTTTCCAGCACATTTGAATATGTGCTGGAAAATTTATTCAGGTGAAAGAGAGACTCTTCTGCTGAGTTTCCATGGACTTTCCTAGAAAGAATAGTACCAAAACTTCAAAAAGAACAAATATTAATGTAAAACAAAGAGCAAAACAACTGGTAGGGAAGAACTTTGCCTTCAGGTACTTCCAGATTGTTCATGATCAAAAGATCCAAGTATGTAAGAAGTTCTTCTTGGGAACCCTTGCAATAAGCCAAAAGAAAGGGTGTGTGGCATACAATAACAAGAATCCAGTGACAGATATTACTGGAAAATATGGGCGATGACACTATTTCAAAGTCTCCAGAGTGTCAGATGAACAGAAACAAGCAAATAGAGGAACAACATGAGAAACAAAATTTGGGAATGGGATAAGATTCCTGGTGTGCCCACATAGAAGGAATATTGGATATACAGTAATACAGTAGTTACAGTAGTAGTAGGATATACAGTAGTTTTCTCCACTGCTATGATAGAAAGAGAAACAAATTTTTTCCCTCTAGTTCACCTGGGAACCAAGGAGTCAAATTCTTAGCTGGAGCCATCACCCTCAACTCATTCAACACCATCATGCTGAATGAGTGACCTCATTCAATGCAATTCAATTCATATAACCTTCATGGCATTTTCTGGTTCATTTAGCATCTCAAACTTCATCTGTTCCTGAGATTCCCATGTGTCAAATGTGTTGCTTTAAGCATTCATATAGCACATCCAGCAAACATGAGGAAGTCCTGAAATGAAGTCCAGGATAGGGGTGAGGTCTCTGCAAAACTCCAGGGATTCACCATCAGCTCTTTCTTGCACTATCAAGAGATAGAGAAAAGAATATATGAGGGATTATTCAGTGTGCTTGGCTCTAGGATGAAAGTTGAGAGCTGGGAAATATGATGAAAATTTTTTAATTGAGTGGCATGAACGAGTATGCCTCAACAACATACTCTCTGGTGGGAGCACAATTCAAAACAAAGCTACAGAATAGGCTGAGGCAATTTTCAACAACTCTGGGTGCTTTCAGTCAGTTTTCATTTCAAGGAGAGGCAAGGAATCACTTGTGAGAGAGTCAATAGAAAACCTGGATGTATCCAAGGAGAAAATGTTAAGAGGAAGAATGAGGCATTTTCCAAGTAAAATTTATAGCTATTTTCATGATCCCTCAGCAGTTATGGTCACTGGATCTAACACATGCCCTATGATGGCCTGGAGTCAAAGCTAAATCTCGCCAGTAGATGGTGCATCGATACGCAGCAGGCCCATAGTAGCACATCTTTTGCATTGTGTGATAGAAAAATTCCATTTATGTCTATGATTATGCACTGTAGCACTTTCATTGAGAGGTCTGCAAACTTTAAAAACCCTGGGACTTCGGTGTATCAAGACATTGTGGACAGTGTCATTCTTGTAAGTGATTTGACTTCCCTTCCTTTAGGATGCTCAAGCCAACAGAATTTCATCATTTGCTATGGTAATTCGTTTTTATAGTTTGTGGCATATTCATCTTTTCACAAGACTTAAGATCAACAAAACAGAGGACTGCTTATTGTAGAAAACTGGCAAAACTAACACCTAAAAATCACACATCAGTAGGCTTAAACTCCTCCCATTTGTGCAATTTTATGGTCATGGTATATATCTATCTTTATTTTACCATGATATATTATGTTTCTTAATTATCTTGTTCAAAATAAATATAAGTTTCATTACTCCTTTTTTCACTCTGCTGGGTTGTGGGGTATGTGGTATGTAGCAGTGCCCAAACCTTGGAAGAACATTATTTGAGGCCAAGCAGGAGCATGGAAAACAAACACCTCCCTGCACCCCATATTTGCCAAGTAGTAAAAATTCTCTCTCCTGAAGAGCAGGACAGCGACTAATTCATATATTGGCAAAGTACCAACTGAAGTGTTTCTGCATTAGTCAGACAATTCTTCATTGACTCTGGATTCTCATGCATCCAGAACAGATAAAAGAAGATACAACCGGGCACTTGTCACAAGAGCTTTGCAATTTTGCACTACTTCACCATCTAAGTTACCACTAACTGATTTCAATTCACACTGCTGGGGTTCTTTAACATCCTACTCCTACATTTTGGAATGAGGCACACATTCACTTCATTCATTCACTTGTCTCTACAAACATTTTTAATGCCAATGAGACAAATTTCTCTCATACACATGACAAAACAGTGAAGTTAGTCCTATGTTAGAGGGCAATGTGATAAACAAAAGCAAATAAAGTATGATATGTACAGTGGGAGTAATCAGAGAGCAGGAACTTTCCCAGTGAAGGCATCAATATATAGATGCATCTTCAATACAAAAATTCCTATGTTAGAGGGCAATGTGATAAACAAAAGCAAATAAAGTATGATATGTACAGTGGGAGTAATCAGAGAGCAGGAACTTTCCCAGTGAAGGCATCAATTTATAGATGCATCTTCAATACAAAAATCCATCCTGACTTTCTGAAACCAAAATCTGATAGATATGATCTCTGGCAGAAACACATCTTTACCATAGGCCCAAACAGAAGCATGAATATCACTTTCATGAGGTAAGAAGAGGGGCCCAGAAAGAAAAGTCATCTAGAAGAGAAACCTAAACTTGCACAACATGACTGGCTTGTGTTTCAAAAAACAAGAAAGGATATTGAGCCACATGGCACATAAGGTAATGATGGGGAAAAGGGTCATTCTGCATCAAACCAACATGGAGTTAAAAGGTGACTAACACTGATTTGAATGAAATTTGACAGACTTATTTGTACTTAGTAGAAAGTGACTCACAGCAGTTAGTGTTCATTTGACTTCTTGTTCCTCAGATATGGGGTCATGAAAATTCAAGCCAAAATGCCTTCCTACCAGACTATGATAGTCTTCCCTCCATAACTTCTATTTGAGCCAGAGACCTTGGTAACCATATAATATAGCTGTGTGCCCAAATTTGGTGTGCTGAAAGTAATTTACATGTTCTTTGAGTTCTTTAATATGATTTGTGACAGTTCATTTCTTGTGTAAATTCATAAATTTGTAATTATCAAACATTTACTGTGTTTACTTCAATAATATACTCCTCACTCTCACACATCATAGTAGCAGCTGTCTATGAAGTGTCACCAAATCTTGAAAGCAGAAAAGAACAATTGCTGTCTCCATATCCTCAAACTAAAGAACAAAATTAACTTTAAGCTCAATATTCAAACTAATGTTCCATCAGCTTTCTTGGGTTTTCACTAAACCCAAGTGCACTCTAACCTCAGAGAACTAATGATGAACACATACCGAGTGAACTGCATCCCTTCTATGTTGGGCCGAAGGAGCAAGAAAGTAAGCAATTTTGGGAAATGATGGGTCAATTTGGTAAGAAAATAATCACGGCCAAAGACCGCAACCCCTTTCTAACCCAACTGACCCATCATCCCCCAAAATTGCTTGATTTTCTCACTTTGGCCTTTGACACCAAACCAATGCTANCAACATGGAGTTAAAAGGTGACTAACACTGATTTGAATGAAATTTGACAGACTTATTTGTACTTAGTAGAAAGTGACTCACAGCAGTTAGTGTTCATTTGACTTCTTGTTCCTCAGATATGGGGTCATGAAAATTCAAGCCAAAATGCCTTCCTACCAGACTCTGATACAGTCTTCCCTCCATAACTTCTATTTGAGCCAGAGACCTTGGTAACCATATAATATAGCTGTGTGCCCAAATTTGGTGTGCTGAAAGTAATTTACATGTTCTTTGAGTTCTTTAATATGATTTGTGACAGTTCATTTCTTGTGTAAATTCATAAATTTGTAATTATCAAAAATTTACTGTGTTTACTTCAATAATATACTCCTCACTCTCACACATCATAGTAGCAGCTGTCTATGAAGTGTCACCAAATCTAGAAAGCAGAAAAGAACAATTGCTGTCTCCATATCCTTAAACTAGAGAACAAAATTAACTTTAGGCTCAATATTCAGACTAATGTTCCATCAGCTTTCTTGGGTTTTCACTAAATCCAAGTGCACTCTAACCTCAGAGAACTAATGATGAACACATACCGAGTGAACTGCATCCCTTCTATGTTGGGCCAAAGGAGCAAGAAAGTAAGCAATTTTGGGAAATGATGGGTCAATTTGGTAAGAAAATAATCACGGCCAAAGACCGCAACCCCTTTCTAACCCAACTGACCCATCATCCCCCAAAATTGCTTGATTTTCTCACTTTGGCCTTTGACACCAAACCAATGCTAAGACTGTCTCCAGGACAGAACAGGATGAGGAAGTTAAGCATATAAATACCAAATCTAACCTAACCTAACCTAACCCACATTGGTCCTCCATATATGATGAATGTGTCATGATAAGGATGTCATTGAGAGGCACGAGGGAATGTCCTGGGTTCGGTGGTGTAATGGAAGCACACCTGACCGGTAATCAGGAGGCCCGGGTTCAATTCCCGGCCGTCCCCTGGCTTTCTTTCGTCCTCTCCTGTCATCCAATATTCCGGCCATTCTCATGACAAATGGTTGAGAATTTCCTTTTCCAGAGTTGCCTGCAATGTGAAAAGAGACATGCAGAATTTTCCTGCTGTGAAATATGACAGGGGTAGAGACAGATATTGATTTTAAAAAAGACTAAAAGTCCAAAAATTGCCATACTTATAAGTCTGCACAAGTAATGAAGTGTCACATATAGTATTGAATATTAAAACCCTCAAAGAACAAAAAAATTTCCTGTAAAATACCGAACCTGTGCGTGAAGTTATATTATACTAAAACTGAGACCTCTTCCTGGGCTCATTCAAAAAGCTCTTCCAAAACCCTTTTGAAATAAATGACTAAGTTTTGAATAAGCGATAAAATTAACTTCAAATGAGGTCATCATAATGACCTTTGACCTCATATTACCAAAAACAACTATTTTAGATTTTGAAAAAAAATTATTAGCATGCAGGCAGGATATGTAGTTACCTCTATGTTAAATTTCACTTTGGGCTCTTCAGAATTTCTTGAGAGAACTACAAAATGGAGCAGGGGTGCCCTACCTATGGCCCATGGGCCGGATCCAGCTCGTCGTGACAATTCATCCGGCCTGCGGCACTTCACAAACATATGCAAAAGTACATATGCCAACTGTTTTTACATCACAAATCCTCTGATGCTAGAATATGGTATCTCCCGTGGAGTGCTGTTTTCTCCACCTGACTCCTTCAAATAAGCAGATTCTTTCCTACAAGGGTGAAGGTGTCTATACTTTTCGATGTTCTATAGCTACACAAGTAGCTACACAAATTCAGGTATTCTCCAATGGAACATATGCTTTCAGGAATCACATTGTTGTTTCTCATTTTTCTCATGTACCAAAGAATGCACTTAGCTCAATCTTAATATGGCTCACAAGGCCAAAAGGCTCCCAACCCTTGATATAGACATACACACACAGCATTTGTGTGCCTAAAATAGAATCAATTTTAAAGTGTTCATTTTTACATGGAATTCAATGGAAATAACATTAACTTAGTTAAATGCATTCCCATAGGTCCCAGTTATGAAGTGGAATATATTCTATTCAATGGATTTCATGCCAACAGCTCTAAGCTACTCACCTGCCCCATGGGTCAAGTTAGTGAATGACTTGGTTGATAATGTGCTTACCTCCCATATCAGAGAGTCAAGGTTTGAATCCAAACAAGTTCAGAGTTTACTTCCAAGTGCAAGCCCCAACATACTGGGAAGGGAAAACCCCACGCACTTGGCACTCTCATCCAAGGATGTGGGACATAAAGGTCCCCAATGGTGAAGGCCAAACTTTGGGTAATGTATTCCAAGAATAAGTGCATGGGCTACATTGAGTCTCAAAAGGCTATTCATGTTAGCTGATGTTACAGGGGGGAGGGTATAGATCAAAGGATGGGTTAGCTAGTGTTTCAGAGTTAGGCTGAGTTCATACTCTTGCTGTACAACAGAGATGCAAAATCCAATCCAATACCAGCATGTTGCATTTGACAGTTTGCAGTTGCATCCAGCATGCTGTGCATGCTGGATGCAGCACAAGTATGAACTCAGCCTTAGGGTGCAGTCATGGGCCTCGAGCCTCTTGTGCCTGGTACCTTATTGTATTATAATGCATCTTAATTACCTAAAAAAATTTACAAGGTGCCCAAGTTAAAATGTTCTACAGAGGCAGCCATAAGACTTGCCTGCTATTTACTCAATTATTTTTAAAAATATAAGGGGGTTGTATTTGGTAATGTGTAATTAAGATGAGTCAAACTGACTTCAAAGACCATATGTCCACAGTCAAAAATATCAAATTCAAAGTGATTCTATTCTGTCAAGTATGCCTGTTAGGATTCCCATGCACTCATCCATTTGATGTCAAATAAAAGTATGAATTGTTTCATGGTGACAATACCTTCCATGAGGTCATTACCTCCAAGAAGTACCTATTCAGGAGCAACATGGTTTTATCTTACTTACAGCCTGAGGGAATGTGCAATAAACCAAATGTATTCATACATTCATGTCTGCCATCACAAGACTTTACAAAGCACCTAGTCCATTACAATTACTAACATCATCACAAATTGCCACATACAACCAAAAAAATCTTTAAAAGTTCTATTTCTCCTCTACTTCATAGGTAAGACAAATTATCACATGGAACCTTTCGAACTGAGATGATGATTTGTCCAACAGAATCCCCTTGCTTCCTTGCTACAACCAGCCATCAGCCAAATCGGCAAAGATTCAGAAATAAATGTAAATTTTTCTTTAGATGAACTTCATTAAAGCAGGAAGCCACTTTTTGCAAGAAAACTCTGAGAATCTTTGTTTTATGATGAAGCTTTCCTGCACAGAAAGTTTTCCAAATACAGGGTATCCCAATTTTTTAGGTCCCAAAAGTAAACGCCATTCAAGCATCGGACCCTTTTAGCTATCAGACCTCATTTTCCTGAATGAATCGAGCCCATTTCAAGAAACTTTGAGTCCTTGATGAGTTTCTTGTCTGGTGTTGGTTTTTCCATTCCAAATTCTTGAGCAAATTTTCTCTGAACCAGAACAGGACCATCTGTCATACCAGCAAACATACTTGGCCTTTTCAAACATGACATTTTGTTCACTGAAGCTGTCAAAGAATTCATGAGAACCATGATTCAAACAAGCTTTGCCTGTAGGGTTAAGAATTACGATCTCAAAAAACTTACATTTCCAGTAAACTGCTGACAAATCATTCAGCTTTGGCTGAGAATATGTGGACTTTTCACTCTAAAATGCTATCAAAATCCATATGTATGCCAAATTTTGTGGATTTTCATTGAACAATGCTTGAATGGCACATGTTAACTATTGGGACACCCTGTATATAATGGGAAACAAACACCAGGGGATTGACACTTGATAGACAGAAGGAAACAATGCAAAAGTAAACAGAGGCAGATGTATGCAGTGTAAAGGAAATTACTATGAAGGAAATTACAATTAGGCAAAAAAACCAAAACAATATTAGTTCCCTGGTAGCTCATGCCTTTAATGCTCCACTCACTCTTCTTGAGTGAGTGGAGCAATCCACACACAAATGCATACATTTTCCTCACTGCTTATCCTTCGCAGGCTCATGCACATTTACACTACATGCTCACACCCCTTCACTGGCTTCGTACATTTGCATATATGCCTCTGTCCTCCATCATTCCAAGCCAGTGAAATACATGTCTCAGTTTTTTATGTTGAACTTTCGGGCAGCAATATTGGATGCACTCCATGGGCCAGCACAAATGTACAGGACCACAAGATTGCACTTTTCCTAGTTAGTTGCACTTTGTTTCGTGCTTCAGATTCGACACAGAATGATTCAAAAGTGGAAAAAAATTTGTGAAGTGCCATCACTCAAATTCTACAAGAAGTTAATAGAGAAATTCCATACAGAAAGCACCTACGCACATGGAGAGACTGCTGTTTACCACAAAATAGATACTACATAATACCTTTTGCTATGATTCAACTATTTACACATTTTCCAACTCTTGAAATGATGACCATGACATTTTTACCCATTTTCATACATGGATTGAGAGGGTGCTGAGGATCTCTGCATTCTAGTCTTCCATCTCCTTTTTTCAAGGATCCCTTCCTGTGAATAGGAAGAATTGCATAAACATAATTAAGATGAGTCAAACTGACTTCAAAGACCATCGCGGAGCTTCGAGGAGACGAGGGGACGAGGTCGGAGGTCGTTCGTAGCAGGTCTGGCGTCGACGACGATACCGCTTCCCCCACCGGAGGTCGGTGGTTCGATGACGTGGCCGTTCGATCGACCGCTTGCGCGGTCGCCACGGGGTCGGGACCGAAGATATAGTAGAAGGCACGGTGGAGTAGAAAAATAATCGTTAAGCACAAAACTTCCCGAAGTTTCGAGAGCGATCTCTCCAGAACTTTCTCGAAGGTCGAGGAGGGGCCTGAGGAGGTACTGGGTGTAACACGTGTCAGGAATCGTAGGAATCGATGGCCTAGCCCAGGGGTGTGCAACCTCGATCGGCATCGGGCCGCATGGAAACGCGTGACTCTCGACGCGGGCCACAGAATGCAAGAGATGAGGCTCCCCTCTTTTGTCCACGGGGCATACGAGGGCATGAAGTCGCGCCGATCGGCCGGTCATCCTCCCCACCCCGAGAAAATTCCAACGTCTAGAAATAACCTTTGGCATCGAGAACCTTTTTCCTTGGGACACATGTAGCACCGCCCGCATGAAGAAAAACTAGAAGGAAGTTATAGGACTCGGTCTATTCACGTCACGAAGGGATGACCGAAGTTGCGATGGGCCTTCGGCCGCAAAGAAACTCATTTGTCATCCCATTATGCATTACCGGGCCGCGGGTTGCACATCCCTGACCTAACCTACCACCAGGAAAGGCATAGCCCTGTGGGCTTCGCGAGATGGACGATGCACAAAGCCTGTAAGGCTGTGCCATAGAACATCATGATTCCTGACATATGATACACCCTGTATATAGCAGTGAGGACGACGAATCTGGAAAATATCGTCGAGTTTGCCGGAAACGGCGCATGATTTGAGTGCTAACCGTCGACGAACCGTTCGGTCATCTTATTGGAATCTGGGTTAACGCCGTGCTGTTGCAATCGCTCGTCTCCGTACTGTCCCATTTGATACGACCGAGATCCGAGAGCGAGTCACCGTGGATCATCGGGGTGATGATGGCCGACCTCGTACGATGACGCACGAGGACAGTACTGCGATCGGTAAGTGGATCCGAAAGGAACGACGAGACGATGGCGGAAGAAATCGCGAGGGAACAGAGGCCGGGACGCGTGGAGATGGACGGTGCAGCGCCGCCTCGCTCGACTCCGTCGTGAAAGCGTTTCACCCCGAGCGATGCCGATCATGTCAGAGGAAGGTAAGGGAGAGGCGAGTACGATGGGCACTGCGACACGAACACGACGATCGGAGCCGATCGGTCTGCTCCGATCCGTGTCATCGATTGTTCAGAAATACGATACATTGTTGGTTCGAGAAGAGGAGCCGAAGAGAAATTCCACAAACAGGCAGGATATTGTTGTGGGGGGAGTCTTCAGCATTAACTTTTCATAGGAAAAATTTGGACATCAAAGAAAAATGTTACCATGCCACACCCACATTGTTGAGTGTAATCATCATTTAGACAGATAAATGGACAATTTCAAACATCTACGGCGCAAATATGGAGCGGTTTGAAGTTCTGAGACACTTCCAACTGCAATGCACCTTTTTCACATGAGAAGGCAGATGTCTTTCATTGTGACTAGCAATATTTCATCATGTTTGTCAATTGAAGATAGCTTTTATCTTTTTTTTCCCCCTTTAAAGTGCTACCAAAGGGTCTGCTGAAGGGGTATAAAAAGTGACATGAAAGCTGTGATGAATTTTCTCATTTCTAACTCGAGATCTTTCATAGAGGTATCGGGAAGATCTCTTAGCTACTGAAAGATCTGCTGGGAAATCGACTTCACAACTAGTTATTTCTCCTAATTGTAGTCATATTAACGCCATGATCCTGATTGAAGCATTTGAAATTCTTTCTAATCTTAAAATGCACCATTGGAACATGAAAGCCATAGGAGTTTTCCATCCTTGATGGACTTTGAATTTTCAGGTGCAGAGCCACATTCAGAAGATCGTAGCTAAGAACATAATTCACCAAAGACGCTGGAAGTTGTTATATATTTGGCAGAGAGGTGTTGGGTACTAACATCATGACAGGAAGGCCACCTCATCGGTTTCCTCCGCATCGAGAAAAGAAGGCTTTGGATCCTACAAGGCTGGATGCCCTCTTTGGTATAAGCGGCCGTATTATTTGGTCATATGTATCAGTTTCTTTGTTCGTATTTCGGGACTTTATGCTTCCGTTGTGCAGGGAATGAGCAGCAAAAATGAATTTGCATGCCAAAACTTTTTTTAATTTGCTTAATTGAAATTCTTTCTAATCTTAAAATGCACCATTAGAACATGAAAGCCATAGGAATTTTCCATCCTTGATGGACTTTGAATTTTCAGGTGCAGAGCCACATTCAGAAGATCGTAGCTAAGAACATAATTCGCCAAAGTCGCTGGAAGTTGTTATATTTGGCAGAGAGGTGTTGGGTACTAACATCATGACAGGAAGGCCACCTCATCGGTTTCCTCCGCATCGAGAAAAGAAGGCTTTGGATCCTACAAGGCTGGATGCCCTCTTTGGTATAAACGGCCGTATTATTTGGTCATATGTATCAGTTTCTTTGTTCGTATTTCGGGACTTTATGCTTCCGTTGTGCAGGGAATGAGCAGCAAAAATGAATTTGCATGCCAAAACTTTTTTTAATTTGCTTAATGGGAAGCTGGATAACTGGATTGTGTGAAGACATTTTATTTGGGATCTCTGGCATTTTCACAGGAAATGGCATCCGATTTAAAATAAGTTTGCCTATGAGCTCATGTTTCTTTTTTAATACTTATGACTCATGAGCATGTCAATGCCTTATTTCTTCAGTGAATCGCTAATATATGTTTAGTCACTGATATTTTCACTCTCATTACAGATTGTGTTCAACAGAAGTTCCCAGGGTCATCTCTGAAGGACATGAAGAGAGCTCTCGAGGAAAAATGCAAATGATGACTCAGAACGACTCCAGAAGTTGAAGATGGTTCATGAGTGATGCCAGACTTGAATTCTTGTATGCAATTTAGCATTAATAATAATGTTTTTACACCAAAATTAAAGTTCAAGGAAAATATGAAAACTTAATATTTTGGTGACGAATAGCGTAAATTAAATGCCACTCAGTTTTTGGAATTTTGATTGGAAACTCGGCACACAAACCCTGAGTCACCCTATGTGACTACAAATTTCATCAGACTCGGCAGCCTATAATCAATCGACAACTCACAAAATATGGTAGCCTTGTTTTTTTATTTTCGCCCCACCCTGTATGTCAGGTCATTAAAAGTAGCTAGTTTTTCCGCTATCCACGCGTTCGGAGTTGCGTGGCCAGATAACGTCGCGGGATGTTAGCGAAGACAATTTCATGACGATGATATTCCAGGTCGAGGAAAATGAATCGGTCCTAAAAGCCGTCGAGAAACTTTCACCGGGTTTACGGAATGACTAGGCGAGAGGAAACTCGAGTCTGTAGCGGGATGCCGAGCCAGACGGGAAGAAGCACAAACCCTGGCAGTGATGAGACCATGGCCGAAACAGGATGGCCAAGGTTCAGCGAAAGTAGTGCATCACGGTCTGATAAATGGACGAGGTCGAGTGAGATTATGCCCTTCGGGTAGAGTCGAGTGCCTCAGACAACGCTTGAGATGAGAACAGCACGATAGTTCCTGAGTGAAAGAACCCTCCAACGGTGGAAAGGCTTATCTGATCCAGACTAGTGCTGCCTTAATCTGACGCGCCAAGCCTACCGGCATATGTCTATCCAGGCTATAGGCTAGGGAGAAGAACCAGCGACGGTCGTAGGGAGTCGAGCATGTGAGAACGGAGGAGGTGGGAGTTGAGAGTAAGAATTTTTTTGTGTGCGGAGGTACAGGATTAGGCCAGGTTAGATTCACTCATGCAAAAATTAATACGTTTTGGTAGCGCCTATTACCTTTTTTTCAACCCCTTCCCGCTCCGTTACAAAATTCAAAACTCACATCCCTCTCTGAGAGCATGAACATAAATGAAATCGGGCGTTTCTTCCTCTCTCCACCCAATCACTCCAGAAAATTTGAAGTTCCTTCTCCCTGGGATAGTGGAGAACACAAAATCTCGCTTTTTGAACATATCAATTTCATTCCTCCTCCACCCAGAGGGGGGGGGGGGGGGGGGGCCCCCCCTGGGGGTTTTTCGGGGGAATCGCGGAGCTTCGAGGAGACGAGGGGACGAGGTCGGAGGTCGTTCGTAGCAGGTCTGGCGTCGACGACGATACCGCTTCCCCCACCGGAGGTCGGTGGTTCGATGACGTGGCCGTTCGATCGACCGCTAGCGCGGTCGCCACGGGGTCGGGACCGAAGATATAGTAGAAGGCACGGTGGAGTAGAAAAATAATCGTTAAGCACAAAACTTCCCGAAGTGTATCTCCCGAAGTTTCGAGAGCGATCTCTCCACAACTTTCTCGAAGGTCGAGGAGGGGCCGTACTGGGTGTAACACGTGTTAGGAATCGTAGGAATCGATGGCCTAGCCCAGGGGTGTGCAACCTCGATCGGCATCGGGCCGCATGGAAACGTGTGACTCTCGACGCGGGCCACAGAATGCAAGAGATGAGGCTCCCCTCTTTTGTCCACGGGGCATACGAGGGCATGTGGTCGCGCCGATCGGCCGGTCATCCTCCCCACCCCGAGAAAATTCCAACGTCTAGAAATAACCTTTGGCATCGAGAACCTTCTTCCTTGGGACACATTCCTTGCGACACGAAGACGACGATCGGAGCCGATCGGTCTGCTCCGATCAGACCTGTCTTCGATGGTTCAGAAATACGATACATCGCTGGTCCAAGAAGAGGAGCCGAAGAGAAATTCCACAAACAGGCAGGATATTGTTGTGGGGGGAGTCTTCAGCATTAACTTTTCATAGGAAAAATTGGGACATCAAAGTAAAATGTTACCATGCCACACCCACATTGT